CTGGACAGGTAAAATAACCATAGATTTAGGGTCAGACAAACCTGGAAATCATCTTGGTTCTACGATCTACCAGATGGACAGTCTTGGGCAAGTCAGACAGCCTTTCCTGAAGTCAGTGTCTTTGCTATCAAATGAACATAGTCAATTATCTACCTAACAAAGTTATTACTAGGATTAAATAAGATGCACTGATGACCAGCCACACAGTGCTTTTCCGACACATACTCGGAACTCAGTCAAAGGATGATTAGAATAATGACAGTGCTTTTTGTTCCAGTTTTTCCAAAATGGCTTCATTTTTGTAAACACTCATTCATCTCCATTTCTCTCTGTACCTTGTCCTTCCATATTACTGTATACCAGAGCACTTTTAGTATTCATAGATTAATGATTTAAGCGTGTGTTGAACAGCTTCTGCACATTGGACCAGCTGCATTGGGGATGTCAAATACACAGGTAACAATTAGAGTAAGGACACAACTTACAAAGTGCTAAGTTGGGGGGGTATATGGAGCAAATGTGGTAGGATCCCAGTAAAGAGAGACTCCAAGTTATGATAGTCCAGGACATGATGGATGCAAGGTGACTCAAGTTAAGGCTGGACGGATGGACTGGATGTAGCCAGGCAGAGCAGAGAAGACTGAGCCTTCCAGGGTGGGGAGCGGCAAGAGTTGAAGCACAAGTACCAACATGTACATGGCGGTGCCCTGATGAGACTGCTCTCCTTGAGCCAAGGATGTGTTTAGGGCACAGAGGTGTGTGGGAGCACTTGTGTCTTTTTATAGGAGGCAGAGATGCACATTGTAAAGGGCCTTCAAGACCAAGTGAGATTTGACTTTGATTCAAAACAGCAAGGAGGCAGTAGAGATTCAAGAGCAAAACAGTGCTATAAATGAGACCTTTTGCCTGTTGGTCACATGTAGAATACATTGGATAAGAAAAGAAAAGCTTATTCAGCAGCTTTTGCTGCAGCGTGTGTTGTGATCGTGAGACTCTTTACTTGGTTGTTCTCGGGATGAGGTCAAGAACCAGGGAGGTTGGTGGTGGGAAATTATTCACAAGACTTAGAGATACACAAGTGATACAGGGAAACAGGAAAACTCCAGTGTTTCTGGGCTGCAAGACCACTGAATGGTGAGACTCTCATGTTAAGTTGGGAAGAAGGTCTGTGTTTTAGGAAGATCCTGAGCTAGGTTTTGAGAATGCTGAGCTGCACACTGAAGAACACACACACAGAAATGTCCATCAGGAATGTGTAGATGCTGGAATCAATATACATTTAAGGCAGAGGAGGAGGGCATAGCTCAGTGATAGTGTGTGCTTAACATGCATGAGGTCCTGGGTTCAATCCCAGTACCTCCATTAAAATAAATGAGTAAATAAACCTAATTATCTCCCCCTAAAACAAAAACAAACAAACAATAATTTTTTTTTTAAGTAATATATATGTTTAAGGCAGGATCCTTGATGCTATCCTGAACCTGAACCGAAACCCTAGTCTCTGGTCTCAACTCTACTTCTAACCCTTCTATAAATTTTATTCATAAATGATGACAAGAAACAACTGGCACAAATCAAAAGAGAGAGCCTGAATCTTCAGCCAGTAGAGATGGAGTTCATTCTCTAGTTGCTTCCAGGCAGCCCTTGCATTAATGGATTTGAGAGTCACCAGTAGTTATGGTGAAGGAAGGGTCTCTTTGATGTCTTTGTCTCAGATATAGTGAGGAATTCCATTTCTTCAGATAGTCATGAGTTTTGTAGGATCTAAACTTCCCCAATCCTTCATAAACCATAAATTAAAAATGAGCACATCTTTCTGGTTTTGAGTCAACTGAGCCACTGAATAGAAGAACCCATGTTATGTCAAGATTCTCCCTCCTCTTATATTAACTGAATTGTATAAGTTGATAAGAGGTGAGTAGTTGACTTCATGAAAATCCAGTCAAGTGCCTCCTGATCCGATGCATTCCAGGCCTTCATTCTGTGAGGTTATTTGGCTTATTCCTGGTGAGTTCAAGGTAGATTGACTATAATTTTGTAAAGTATCCAACAACTTGTACGTGTTCTTTACAATGTACCTAAGTATAAATGTCAGGTTATCTAGTTTCTACCTTCATCTCCTTTTTTTTAATGAATGTTTTCCCTCAGGTTTTTTTAACTTTATTTATTTATGTATTTATTTTACCATATTGTATTTTTAAACTGAAGTATAGTTGATGTACAATATTATATGTTACAGGTATATACTATAGTGATTCAGTTTTTAAAGGTTAGGGTATAGTTATTATAAAACATTGGCCATATTCCACATGTTGTACAGTACAACCTTGTAGCTTATTTTATACCTGAGGGTTTGGACCTCTTAATCCTCCACCTCGCCCCTCCCCCTTCCTTCTCCCCGCTGGTAACCACTAGTTCCTTCTCTACCTCTGTGACTTTGCTTCTTTTCTGTTATATTCCCTAGTTTGTTGTATTTTTTTAGATTCTACCTGTAAGTTATATCTTACAGTATCTGTCTTTCTCTGACTCATTTCACTTAACATAATGCCCTCCAAGGCCATCCATGCTGCACACCAGAAACTAATAAAACATTTTATATCAACTGTACTTCAATTAAAAAGCAAGCAAACAAACAAACAACCCATTTAAAATATGGGCAGAAGAACTGAACAGACATTTTTCCAAAAGAGGAAATGCAGACAGCCAGCAGCAACATGAGAAGTTGCTCTGCATCACCAGTATCAGGGAAACGCAAATCAAAATCATAGTGAGACACCATCCCGCACCTGTCAGGACGGCCATCATCAAAAAGAACACAAGTAGCACATACTGGCAAGGATGTGGAGAAAAGGGAACCCCTGCACACTGTTGGTGGGAATGTAAATTGGTGCAGCCACCATGGAAAACAACGTGGAGGCCTCTCAAAAACCCCAAAACAGAATCACCACATACCTTCGTCTTCTTAAAACAAGTCACATGCTCAGAAGTGTGTCTCCATCACTTCTTAGTCTTCCTTTTAATAAATAGGACTTGTGGCAAGAGAGTCTAAGATACAGACTATTTACTGACCATTAAATTTGTTTTTGTGTCTTGTTGTGATTGTCTTAAAGATCAACTCACCTCTTTCAAAGCCCAGAGGTACTTTGAGGGATGACATCTTCCAGATTCCTTCCAAAGATGATGCATATTGAAAAAAAAATGTAGAAGGACACCTGGAAAACCATCACTCAGAGGAATCCTTACAGGGGAGGTTCTTAAAGAGAGGTTGGATGCAGCTGATTCCTCTCCTGCTTCCCCCAGGAAGCCCATGATGCCCTCGTGATACATAGCTGCAGTGAATTCTGTCATTTCCAGCGCTCCTGACTTCCTGCAGCAGCACACCTGCCCCAGGTGCACTAGGCACAGTGTTTTTCTAAACAGAAAATGATGAAGTGGACACTGCAGTTCATTGATGAAGTGGATCCCAGCAATGGAGGGGAGGGTGATGTTGCCTCCAGGTAATTTGCCAATTCTACTTCACTGACAAGGGAAATTATCTCCCTTTTAGGAACTTGTAGAGTGTCCCATCAAACCTTTCTTATTCCTTGTCATAAATGGGTGGGGTAGGAGGAGATGTTCCCAGAGAAAACTTTTATTTCATTTCCTAAGCTGGGAAGCACACAGTATGGTGACTCAGTGTTTTCTTACTATTCAGAACCTGTCCTGTGCATTATTTCTAGAAAATCATATGCAAAGATTGTTTCCATTTAAGAATGGTTCCCATTTAAGATGGTTTCTGCTGCCTCATATGCTGTATTTCTCTTTCTGATTGATGGAGTGGAATAATTCTAGGGTGAATATAATATAAGGCTAAGAGATCAACATTATTTCCTTGGTGAATTGATTATGTTCCTCTGAATTTATAGTTCCTACCAGGACTTCAAATTAATATGGTGGATGCACTTAGTTATTCTGATTGTGCCTTACATTTAAATTCAGGCAGCTTAGACATTAAATGATCCATGTTTATAACTCATAATCCCATGGTAGGTCCTGTAAACAAGAGGAGATAATTGGTATCATGTCTTAATACAAAATGTTTTTGAAATAGCAGTGGATGACTATGTTGGATACTGTATTCTGTAACATGAAATACATGTCTGGCAGCCATCTATTATTCATTATATCAGTATGTATTCAACTCAACACCTGACTCCCCTGTTCACATCCAGGACAAATGAACACATGTACCAATAGCTTGAGAAAGTTATGTGTAGTGTATATACACATAAGTAATAAATTATCTATGCATATATGTGAAATTGATGCAGGAAAACAGATGTGGGGCATAAGAAGGGCCGAGTCCCAGGCTTCAGTTGAGCCCCCTGGACGTGCCCGCCAAGTGTGGGTCCTTGGCTTCGCGCAGGAAAGAATTCAAGAGCGAGCCACAGCTGAGTAAAGGTAGATTTATTTAGAGAGATACATTGAAAGGCAAGAAAAAGGCCACAAGGTGTGGGGGTTGGGTGCTCAGATTAAAAGTACGTACACATTTCTATAGACAGAATGTGGGCCTGTCTCCCGAAGAGGGAGAGAGAGGCAGCCACGAGGCACCCTGTTGCTGGTTTTTATGGGCTTGATGGCTTCATATGCTAGTAAGTGGAAGGACCAGTCTAAGTAGCCTGGGGAAGGGGCTGGGATTCCCTGGAAGTTGTCCATTTCCCACTCTTTGACCTTTTGTGGCTAGCCTGGGGGCTGCCATGGCGCCTGTGGGCGTGTTATTCACCATGTTAATATTTTACAATGAGCGTATAATGAAGCTGAAGATCTGCTAGAAGTTAAATCTCTCATCACCCTGAGCCTCAAGGCCTACTGGGGGTTGAATCTTTCACCATTTTGATGTTAATTGCTGTGGCATTCCTTGAATGGCTGTGCCCTGCCCCCTTCCTGTCTCAAAATTACTATATAGAATTAATGTGATTTAAGAATTGCATTTATGCGTTTAAGTTCGTAATAAAGAAAGCTTTTTTTTTTTCAAATGTACAGCCTTTCTATTTTTAAAGGTGAGTTACTGGGAGAGGGGAAATTAATTGTAAAGGTTGTGATTTTTGGAGGGGGCAATTGATGCTACTTTTGCAAGTTATAATATTGCTTAACATTCTCTTTACCCAAATATAGGATATTAGAACTAAGAACATTTTTGAAATGACCTTCCCTAAGCTTCTCAGATTCCAGGTCAGTCAATAGAGGCCCCAAGCGCCAAATGACACAAGTGGGTCAGGCCACTCCTCCTTGCCAGACCTGACACTCTGACCCAGTTTATTGCTCTGGCTACTTTATGTTTTGTAGTTACTTGAACCCCAGATGCCTGCAAAGTGGAATCTCAATTCCTGCCTTCTGTGGCTATGGTTGTCTTCAGGGTTTTTCCTAGGGTAAACTAAAATAACTGAGAATTTGCTAGGTTCTGTATTTTTCATCCTGAATTGTGATCTCCACGCAAAAGCGAAAGAAAATATCATTGTGACGACCTCATATTATGGTTTTGAAAAAAAAATACTAAAGAAAAACAGTTGTGTTTGCCTTACGTCTGTGGATACAACCCTGAACAAAGGTTGAGACAAAAATCTCTCTTCCTTTCAATGCTGATCACCAAGATCGTGAGAGCAAAAGCCCGCACTAACACTACTGCACAGTTTTCTCTGTTGTGAGGACAGAGCACCTCGAGTCAGGGTCCAGAAGCTGCCCATTGAAAGGACTGAAATCTGAATGCTATCCTGGGGTATATTGAATCTATCTGGGGATTTGCTGAACGCATAATTTATTCTGGGTAATTTTTTTTTTTATTTTTTAGGGGTGTGAAGAGATGCCCTTTAACTCTTGAGATAATTGATGTCAACTGGGGGTAAATGTAATGGCAATAGAAATGCATGTGCATATATTTAGATAGAACTTGACTCACTGGTGACTTCATTAGCATAACAGCTGCAGGCTGGAATTTATCACTTTCATATGACTCATTTGACCCAGAACATAGAAACTGCTAACTACTATGTGTACATTTGTCCTTAAATTGTTGATTAGCTGCTCTTTAAATGATTTGTGTAGTCATTCCCCAAAGCCAAAAAGCTAGCAGTGTATGGAGGTGGCTCCTTGAACCCCGTGATGCACTGAGTAAGTGTTCTCCACTTACTCCACTGTTTTCCAAAATTATAACCAGTAGTCATAAATCTGCGATGTGATTATCATCTGACATATTACTTTGTATTTACCTTTCAGGACGTTATTATATATTTCTCAGGACTGTACAAGGAAGTGCAGGAGAACCTAGTTTAACACATTAAGTTACTTAATAGTCCAAAGTTAACATGTGCTACTTTTAAATAATCTCATTTCTGTTTGTTTTTGTTCCTTTTGTGATTTTCACTCCAGAAGCTACAGAATATCTTCTTATGCAGGGGGATAATTTGAATCCAAAACATACTAATTTTTTTCCAAAAATGTATCTCCAAAGAACAAGGTGTTTCCTTAAAATATGAGGAAACTTGTATCCATTCCTTTGTCTTTTCTGATGTTTAACTTTTTCTCCCTTTATTGTCAGTGCTCTGCTTAGAGAGGCTACAGTTTGGAAAAGCAGGTTTTATCCAGCTGCTCCCCATCGGTTACTGGAGAGCTAAATACTGGCAGAGGCTACTCTGCCACCGTCAGTCATTTCAGTCTTCTGGAATGGTGGGTCTTCAACTCCTGAAGGCTGCTGCTTCTGGCATTGGTCTTCAGTAGATTCAGGGCAGAGAAACAGGAGGGGAGAAGGGCTTTCCTTGCAGGCTAGGACTCCAAGTACTTGCCTGGCTTCAGACCCAGGAGTCTTGCTGGGAGCTCTGCTATCAGGGAGCCAATGCCTGCAGTTGGTAACAGCTGCTGCACTTGGCTTTTCCTTGCACGTGTTGAGGGAGTGATCTGTGTTCCCTGCCTTCTCACTCCACTGGCCAGAAATAAGCAGAAGCTGTGTACAGTGGAAGCAGCAGCAGAGAGGTCTTACTTCACTTCCATCTTCATTTCTCAAGTTCAGCGTCTCAGTGAATCATATTGGAGTTTTCAAAGAAGGACCATTATGTCTTCTCCCTATAATCTATTACTCTTCAGGAAAATGCTCTGCATTATGATGATACTCTTCCCCCACGAAGAGAACATACCTGCAAAACAGAAACTTTAATAGTAATTAGCATGAACATAGGATTTAGAAGCATACAGAGTACTCCACATACGTTGTTTTCTTATATTTAATACTTAACACGCTTTGCAGTAGACATTTTGATGAAACGGGAGCTAAAATAACCTAAATGATCTTCCTCCCAAATTCCACAGCAAGTTAAGAAGTGGGTTTAGAACTTGACTCTATGTAGACCCCAAATTTCAGACTTAATTCCAAGGGTTATAGTCACTCCTGTGTGAATAGTCAGTAAACCAAGCATGACATGAAGTTATAATGTATTAGTAATACATTATATTGTATTAAATTATGTATCAGTTACTACTTTTGTTGAATTAAGTATCTTAGTTTTTCATATGATTTTCAAAGGTTATATTTAATGAAAGTATGTTTTAACAAGTTTCATTTATTTCTTTGTATTTCTGCATTTTATTTCATTTGAATTTCTGTGTTTGGGATGTTAAAATGTTAACATCCTGTACAGCACAAGCTGTGCCAGGTTTTATAGGTCATCTCAACTTTGAGTACAGTTAATCTTACTGTTGCTATGCAAAAATCTATAATAAGATCCCATCTGCTTTTATAATTGCTCAAGAAAAATACATTACTGGTATCATTTGGATGAAGTGGAATTTAAATGAAATTGTCCTGATGAAAATTATTACTTTTGGAGCTGGCTGTTGTTTATAATCTTCTGAATACCTGATTCAAGATAATATATTTTCTAGCATATATAGTGCTTGTAAATTTAAACAGGCTATCTGTATTTAAAAGGAACACACATCAGCCATATATAAAACTTTTGTTTTCTTTTTTTAACTAAAAATGAGGCTTACCCTGGTTAGAGAAAGAACAAAGAAATACATATTCTGGTTTCCTTTCTTTTAGTGACCCTTTCTATCATCCTTCTGTAGTTTTAGAAGACTACAAATTAAGAACAAACAGAACTCAAAGGATTTTCATCAAAGACAGCATTGTTTTTGTTCCCTATCATCCCTTACAAAAAAATATTGCAGGAAATATTCCACTACCTCTGGACATGTAATTTTGGCAGATATATGACACTTATGAACACTCCCACGTTACTGAAACTTTTAAAGTCACTTTGTATATTGCTAATATGGCCTCTGCTCAGAAATTAGAAGGGACAGCCACATGTCAGAATGAGAACTTTGGAGCTGAATTATAGTTAAATCTTCTCCCCTTCCTTGGCTGGGCATCTGGGGCAGCCTGGTGGCTAGCAATGAGAGGCAGAGAAAGGTTGCCTCTCTAGAAAGGTATTTTTTTTAAGAAGTTTCAAACACGAGTCTCCTGCAGTCATAAAGTGAGCACAGGTCAAAAATGTATGTAAGTCATTAATGAGGAAATCAGCAGGCTGGTCAAGCTGATTTAAGAGGTTTTGCAGAATCCATACAGTTGCCCAGGAAAAGAAAGCTGAATTAAGTTTCCTAAATTTGTCCTAGAACTGTACCTTTCAGGTTCTGTTTTCTCCTGGACAGAAATCTGTAAGTCGGTATCCAATTCTAGCATCTGAGCCCTAATCAGTAGAAATAGTGAGTGAAATAATGATTCCTTCTGGGTAGACCTGTTAGCTGTGCTTGGGCATGACACAGAAAGGACACGCAATCTGCCTTTCCCCCTCTTTCCCAAGTTTTGGATATTTTCCCCTAGCATCCCTGTCTCAGGCTTTTTGTTTATTTATTTATTTTTGTCTTTTCCCTCCTTTGCTCTGTTTGATTTTTGACCCTGAAGGCTGAGGAGAGAAGACAAGGAAGGGGTAGGAAAGTGTTTCTTGGTTGGTGGTGTCACAAACTGGCATCTCACTCTGTGGGCCTGGCAGCTATTTGATGCTGACTCTCAGAGGGGGGCTTTGGTAGATCTCCAGAGGCCCCCAGGTGTACATATGGTGGTCCTCCCTCTGACGTGAGGGCTGCTTTTCCCACTTGTTTTCTGTACCCCCAACTCTGCCTTCCTCCCCACTGACTTCTCGTGTTTCAGAGGTCTCCCCGCAGATTGTCTCTGCTGGAGTTCAAGGGCCTTCCCAAGATGGTTTTCTCTCAGGGCAGTCCTCTTCAGCAACGTTGGTTGGCCCTCTCTTTTGAAAAGGGTTCACGTCTGGTCAACAGGAAACATTTGTGCTCTCTTTGCCTACACAAATTCTGGGCGGGCAGACCAATCCCAATACAGAAGCAATTCTCATTCTCTGCACCATCCAAGCTCTCCGGCCAGCTCTCAGGCCCTCTCCTGCTTCCGAAGCCTCCTTAGTGGAAGGCAGAACCTAGTTTATCGGGTCACCTTCACTGTGAAGAGTGGTCCCTTTGAACCCTCCTTTCTTCTGACTTGAGTTGCAGAAGAAAGTTTTCCCTCCCTCCTTTTGGGGTAAATGGTTCCTATAGAATTCATCTTGCCCTACAAATTCTTCCCTCAAATTCTCACTTGACTCTTTCATATTCTTATTTTTTTAATTTCTCAAATATATATATATATTTATATATTTATCTTATTGGCTTATAATTATTTTTATTGTTCATATGAAGTAACATTGTATGGTTATCAGTCAGTCCCAGATACAGAAAAGTAATAACAATCAATGGCCAATTATAATTTATAGTTGCCATAGATGCAGCTAAAATCCGTCTAAGTGCACTGATTGGCCATATATATATTTTTTTTATTTCACTGATGTATAGTTAATTTACAATCTGTTAGTTTCAAGTATACATCAAAGTGACTCAGCTATACATTATGCATGTGTGTATATATGTATTACTTTTCAGGTTCTTTTCCCTTACAGGATTCCTAAGCCTCCTTAGTGGAAGGCAGTATTACAAGATACTGAATATAGTTCCCTGTGCTATACAAGTAGGGCCTTGTTGTTTATGTATTTTATATATAGTAGTGTGTATATGTTTATCCCATACTCCTCATTTTTCCCTCCCCCCACTCTTCTGTATTCTTAATTTGGATATAAGTGAAGTGCAGCTTTAAACTTGTATTTTACTTGACAGTGGCTTTTGAAAATTTATTTGTTTGCCTTGTATCTTGCCTGAGTATCTGATATCCATCCTAATGTTGCAGATGAAACTTCTGCTTTAATAGTCCATGATACAGGTTTTGGGAGACAGGGAGTCCCCGGGAGACATGCTCTCACAGACATGCTGTACTCAATTGAATTTTTCCCAGAATTATTTCATCTGCTTTTTTTTTTTTTTGAGAACTACCTGTAGGATACAAAAAAATTACAGCAGGTGTCTTGGGGCCTGTATCTGGAGGAATATGGGGATGGATGTGAAGAATGCAGGAGTGGGGAGAAGGCCCAGAGAGGCAGGTGTTCATGCACTATCTTACTTCATTTCCTGACCTAAAGAGATACATGAAATTATAGCACCAAGCCCACCCGATCTCCCCTTCTGCAAGCAGATCTGTTCTGTCTTTTCTGATTCCAGGCGCTCTCAGCATTTTGACTAGCTATTGAAGAAAACAGTGTTCAGAGGGGAGAATTTAGTGTGCTATGTTGTAGTCTGTAGATTTCTCTTCCCCCTAGATAATAATTGAAGGGAGAAACTCTATTCTTCTCATCATTGTATCCCCAGCCCCAGCTGGTGCACAGCGGACAATCATTAAGTATTTACTGAATGAGTGACTGAGACAAAGACGGAGGCATGTAGAGGGAGATGTCCCCCAGGACCTTGCCTTCTGCAGATGGGATTGTCTCTGCTTTTCCCTTTTAGAAGAGTTGGGACTGGGGAAATAATGCAGGAATAGAAAAGCACGCTTCCCATTGATTGTAACAGACTTTCTTCTATTAACATGATTCCTCATTCATGTGTACCCTGTGAATGTGTGTGTGTAGCAGGAAGCTATAAAATTATAGGGAAATTTTTTGAATAATACGGCATTGCGTGTGTGTATACCCTTATTTTTATAAACTGTCTGCCTTAGATTAAAAAGTTTTTTCAAGACTATAGTATCATTTTTCATTATATGCCATATTCACATTTAGAATTCATTTATTCAATTGAATAAAATGCCATCAACTTTCACTCTCCTGGGCTTGCTAGGTTTGATCTCCTCTTTGGAAGGATTAGTCTTATTTTTGATCTTTTCTTCAGTGTGCCAATAAGGTTTTTGAATGCTGCCCTCTTTGTTCCTTTTTTTCCTTCTGTTAAATGCAAAAGAAAACAGTAACCCATATTTAAAGGGTGGAGACACTGTTACCCTTCACGGCAATTTCTCTCTCTTCCAGAGATTAGAGTTTACTGTGGTACAGCAGCCCAATAGGATTGTCCTGGAAATGGATTTTCATGTAAAGTATTAACTTATGGTATTTTGTGTAACAAAAGGAAGGATCAAAATATTATGAAGAGTGAGAAGCTACATGATTATTTTTAATAGGATTGGTGTAATAAATGGTCCTGAAAGAGCATACATCTGTTCCGCTCGATGCTTTCTCTCTGAATTTACCATGAAATGTGTTTTACTGATAAGACACAGCATTCTGATCCAGTATTTCTCTAAAAGCCTGGTTAAGAGATTTAAAATACAAGATACTGCTACATGGCCTGTGGAACTTCACTGAAAGTCAGAGATTCATTCTGAAATTGAAGGAAACAAAGTATGTATTCTACAGGTATGTGTTTTTAGTACCCCTTCCGTCCATTTGGATTCTTAAATATTAACCTTTAAATAAAGACATTTTATGTGAGTTTGTATTTAGACAAGCTGCTTGTTTTATGTTGGAAAAAAGGGCAAATTTAAAACTTCTCTACTAAAATTGTTTTGGAAAAATTAAAATGCATAAAAATGACAAAAATCATTGCAACCCTCAAAAAAATGGCACTTCTACTTTACTGCTGGACTAGAGAGACAGTTTGAGTGGAAGTGAGTTGATCATTGGGTACTTGAAGACATTTTTCCAAGGAGGGGTTGAGTGCAGTTTTAATTCTAGACTAGGATTAAATGCTAGGTTTCAAATGGAAGTTC